TATTCTTATTAATGGGTAAGATATTATAAATAAATATATAATATACAATATTATTACCAAATATATATATATATATATATATATATAATATGTAATATAAATACTACAAATATATGTAATATATAATGCATTTATATATAATATAGATGAAAAATATATTGAATTAAATATAAATATAAGTGATTGGTTTGGTTAATCATTGATTTTTTTTCATATTAGTTAACCCAAGGTTTTAAAAACCGAATCAAACAGGGAACCATTACGGGGATTGGTTCTTGTGTCGAACGATCAAACTATTTGGTTTGAACGGATAACCCGTTTTAACTTAAAAATTAAAAAATAAATAAATAAAATAAAAAATGGCCAAAACTGTTGTCCTTAATAACGGTTTGAGCACTCCGATCAATGGGATGCTGATCAAATCAATAGTTTGTAGCTAAAAAAATGGTTTTAAAGTGAAACAGAACTGATTACTTGTTGATTCCCAAGTATTACCATTGAAAGTTCAAAATGCCTATCTGTCATTACCCCAAAGTTCAGAGTATTTATTTGTAATCTATATAAATATATTAAGCTGAAATGTATAGGTAAGAAGGCCTAAGGATGAGGGAAATGGAATTTAATAATATTTTTTGCCTTTTTTTCATAGAAATTACAAGAATGCCACTCTCTCCTACCAACTCTCTCTCTTTTTTTTTTCTTTCAAATTACAATAATGCCACTCTTTCTCTTACTAACTCTCTCTCGTTTTCTTACAAATTACAAGAATGCCATCTCTCTCTCTCTCCTTATAAATAACAAGAATGCCACTCTCTCTCCAACTCAATCACTGAGGGAGACCTTGGCTCAGCACCTCGGTCACTAAGGGAGATCTCGACTCAACACCTCGACAATTGAGAGAGACCTCAGCTCGACACCTTGTCAACTAAGAGAGACCTTAGCTCGATACTTTGCTTGGTAGGGAAACCTCAGCTCGGCACTTCAGTAGTTGAGGGAGGCCTCGATTTGGCACATCGACAATTGAGGGAAACCTCGGCTCGGCACCTTGGCTGCTTGAGAGACCTGCAATCAAAGGTAGCTAAGCTCGAAATTCCAAGCTTTTGACTCAAGCCGAGCTCGAACTTGACCTCAAGTCTCTAGTTCGAACCTAATAGTTTATGAGCGAGCCCCTACAACGTAGGGCCCCCTCYGCTGGCTTATCCTTAATTTAGATCATGGTCTTCTTCACCACTAAACCAGAACCTCTTCTACCTGATGCCGTCGGTGTAAGAGGGAAGCTTAGGAGCTGCTTTTGCCTTGGGCTTGGCAGCCGAGGAAGAGGGTTTCTTGGGCTTATCTTTTACCTCTCTCTCTCTCTCCATCCATCTCTCTTTCTCATTGTTTACAGATAGAAACGACACCCAAACATATATCATCGAACTGGTCATAGCTTTGTTGTATCTAACCAATCTTCACTAGTGTTTTTGTCATTATGTCTCCATTTAGGTCTTATTGCAAATATTCTGTTTCATTCTTTGCCACCAAGCACTATCAAAGAATTATTGGAGCGGTCCTTGATTGGAAGCTCGAATCAGCCCGTGTACAGGCATTGTTCCTCCATTGAGAATCCAAGCCTAAATTTTCCATCTCCTTCCACCATTGATGACCGGATTGCTCCTCCCATTAGACTATAGCTCAATCCAATCAAGCCCAACTCACATTTCATACTAAACAAATCCTGGTTGACATCTGTTATGCTTCTGCTCGTTTGGGATTAAGGAGGGATAAATAGAGACATAATGAGGATTGTTTCAGTGGTTTTGTATATATTTCGGGCGAAAGGTGGAAGCTGGTGCAGAGTGACTGATTCGGTGGCACGGAGAAAGACGATGAACTGTAGCATACTGACAGGAACCAGACACTAACGCCCGTTAAATTTTCATTCATGGGTTATAATTATAAATAACGTGGTAAAATATGATTGGAGGTTCCACTGTTGTGAATTCCATTAAGTTGAAGAATGAAAAACGGTTGGTTTTTAGAGTGTGTTTGGTTCCATTTATTTTTATTGAAAAAACACTTCTACCTTAGCGCCATATCAGCATTTGGGTTAATAAACGTTTTTTTGGTTTGAAATTATTGTTTGGTGCGAGCATTTATTAAGAAAACATTGACAAACGTTTTTTTATTGATTTTCGTGAAATGAGCCATTGGAAGTACAAACATTGGTACATTGTATCTTTTTCTAATTATGCATCTTATGATTTGAGTTTTTACGTTTTAGTCATGAAAAAATATTGGCTTTTGATAGTTTAGACCTTAAATGGTCTTACTTTGAGCAAAGAAAAGCATTACAAATGCATACAAGGTTATGCAAAGTGCAAAACCTTGTATTTTTGTACTGAACCTATGATTAATAGAGTGGTAATGTAAATTAGGGCTTGGCCAACTAGAACTTTAAGTGAACCAATCTAAATGGTCTTGGATATTAAGTATTTGGCCTGATTGGGTGAGTCTGGGCATAAAACTTGAGTTTTTTCTTTTTTTTTTTTAGTTTTGGGTCGGGTTCAGTTTATCCTTGGTTAAACTGATATGGGTTGATCCACATCCAACATTGGATYCAACTAACCCAACAAAGTTTAAATGTCCAGAAATGAGGGGTGCATAAATGAAAATATTGAGACATACGGGTGAGTAAAAACACATAGAAGTGGCAAAGTCAAAATAAGGTTGCTTTGTATCAATTCATGCCTTGAAGTTAAGTCCCTTTGTTTTTGGTTTATTAATGTAGGCAAAAGTGAAAATGGCGGGGTGTGTAAAATGTCTTGCCTTCTTTCTTGTCTTGGATGAGGTCATGGTGGAGTTAGGTCCCTTTCTTGTCTTGATTGCTGATAAAAGTATTAGTAAAAACTTTTTATTTTATGGGCCTTACTCAAAGTTTAAGTAAAAACCTCATTTTCAAAGTTTATTTTCAAGGTGAAGATAAATGTTTTTTATATATAATAATTTTTTGATCAAACAAATATTTTACCAACAAAATATTTTATTTGGAATCCAATAATAGAAGAAAGTAACAAAAAAGGAATGAAATGAGGTTAGGGGAAAAATTGATAACCTATATCACACATTTCTACCATTAGATGTGGTTTGCATCATAGATCCACGTTAAATCTGAAAATTGGTCATTAAATGCAATTATGGGTAATTTGGACTATTGAATCGACTAAATGACTCGTACACATGCAAGTGAAAGTGTCACAATGAAACATCCATATATAAGGCATTTCTTGAAACACAAAAAAACGTTTAAAGTGAGTATTTATCAAATAAATGTTTATCTAGTAAACACCAAATGGAACCAAACACATAGGACAAGTTTGGAACCGTTTACATTTATTGAAAAATGGCACCAAATCAGCATCTGGGAAGATAAACGTTTTGTGGCTAAAAAATACTGTTTGGTGCACGCATTTATTAAAAAACGCTGATAAACGTTTATCCATTTATTTGCATTGGTTTTCATGCATATAGCCATTTGGGGAAGCRAGAATTCCCCCAACGGTTGGGCGTTTCATGAAACGATGAGCTGAAGTGGATCCGATGTGGGTGCTGATGTGTCGTCTAGTGGTGTTGGAAGAAGGTTTATAAATTTGGTTCTCTCTAGTATACCTTGGCCTAAGGCAGCAAGGCATACTAACTTATAATACCTTGACCTGATACCTAGGATGCTTGTTGGAATGAGCAGGAGGTCACACCAAAAAAGTGGAGTCTAAGCAGTACCTCCTAGTGAAATTCCACATACCATTCCATTGACAGATTAAGAGTTTTAGCAATTTTTCTTCTATGAAATCAACTCAAGTTTTGTAGGAGAGGTCAAGTATATGTCAGCCACTTTGCAGTTTGGCAATTTCCTGCAGGAAAGGTTTGTTGAATGTATGATGTTATAAACTTCTTTTAGAGCACTCAAAATAAGGGGCAATGCTGTTTATTAAAAGAACAAATCTCCCAAAAACCAGTTTGGTGTAGGACCCTATTGATCACGGGAGGGGGGCGATTATGAACCGATTTGGGCTAAGTGCCAAATTCTGAATCTGTATAACATTCATTCCATTTCATCTACTAATCATCATCTACTTATATAATTTAATTTTATACAGGTTAGGTGGCAAATTGGGTTTGCCCAAAGTTAGCAAAATAATATGTATGTGTTATAGTTAAAGAGGATGGTTGTAGGTATATATATATATATAATATGAAGTTTTCAGGTTGGTGAATAATGTTGTCTTCTCATCTCATCAGTTCTACCCATGAAACCCAGTTATACTGGTTTGATTACTCTGTGTCGTTCAACGTCTTTGATTACACTGTGTCGTTCTTGCCTGGCTGCCCCGCATTGATATCACAATTTCTATGAAACACTCACTTGTCTTTTGAATGTTGGAAAGAAGATAGATATTTGCTCAATTGTCGTTCAAAGTCAATTTCTATGACTTGCCCAAATTGATCTACCTTGTAAATGGTATCTTTGTTATTCAAAAGAAAAAAAAAGTGGTCCCATAAAATGTTGGAAAGAAGATAGATATTTGCTCAATTGTCTTTTGAATAACATTAATAGCCACCATTCCCTTACAGGTAACAAAGAGAGAGAGAGAAATTGAAAGTATCATATATCCACCGTTGGATGTTGATTATATCATATATTAACTGTTGGATCTGAAAATCGGTCTTCAAATTGAAGCATATGTAATTTGGACCGTTGGATTGACTAATGTATCATATACACCACAATGAAAGCCTGACACTGAAACATCCATATGGCTGTTTCTTAAAACGCCCCACCAAACAGCATGAAATGGAAAAACGTTTATTGTTACTGAAGTGTAAAGGGGCATTTCTTGAAACGCCCAGTTTAAACTTAACCAAACAACAAAGTGAAAAACGTTTATCTGATAAAGGGGCGTTTATCCACTGGATAAACGGTTCCAAACACATACATACTTAACAAACACCGTTAAACGAAAAACGGTTCCACCCAACGCCGCCACGGCGCCACAGAGAAAACCCTACATAAACCTTGAAACTTCACTCATTCTGAGACTTGTATGCTCCACTGCCGATGGGTTCATGTTTCTTCTATTTCTTGCTCCCCAAGCTCTCGAACTATTACTGGAAAACATAGTTCTAAAGTTGAAGATATCAACCTAGGGTTTCTGTGTTATAGGGTTTTAGACAAAATACAATGGCGAGAGCGTATGCTGCAGGCCTTGTTTCTGCTCTGGCGTCGGCTTCGTTAGCAGTGGAGCATGCTTACGCCGATGGGCCTTTCAGTTTCTCTCCATTTTCACATTCTCCATCTTCTTTGACTCCTCAAGCCTCTCATGAAGCTCCTCCGCCCGAGTCATCTGCGAAAGAGGAACCTCAACGGGTTCGGAATGATAACCCACGGACAACGGCGGCTGGGTTCGATCCAGAAGCGCTTGAGCGGGGAGCCAAGGCTGTACGAGAGATTAACAGCTCCTCGCATGCCAAAAAGGTTCAAATTATGGATTTTTGTTCAAAGTTATGATTTTTCTGATGGATTTTATTTATGGAGAAGTTAAAGGGAGTTTTGGTGTGTATGTAGGTGTTTGAGGTGATGAAGAAACAAGAAGAGACGAGGCAGTCGGAATTAGCTGCAAAGAAAGCCGAGTTTCAGGCAATGCAAGCTCAATATGAGACCGTAAGACAAATTTTCTTTCGTTGTCATTGTATTGGATTTTTGTTTGTCTTGTCACGTCTTTAGATATTGATCTCTTCAAACAAGAAATGATTATTTTTCTTTTTTCTTTTTACCATTGAATAATTCATTGGTCATTGTAGTGGCAATTCAAAAGATTGACGTTTAAAGATATTTATTTGTTTATTCTTTTGTTTTTAACCGTCCGCCTTTAATTTCTCAACAACTATACTTGATGTAACTATTTAGTTAATGATGGTTGTGTACGTTGTGATTATCTTACGCAGTGTAGCCTGCATTTTGCTTTGTTTCCTATAAACATCTCCACTTGCCGTTAATATACTAGAATTGAGAAGCCAGCTGCTGGAATAAGTTTATAATTAACCTACATCCCTTGCAATTTACTGCTTTTCTTGTGGCAGAACTTTTGGTCCATTCTTACACTGTTTCACTCTTTATGTATCTTCACTTGGGGTGGGGGGAGGATTGAGTGCTCATTTGTGATATTGGTAGCCTCCTGTAATCCTAGTATACTTAATGGGGCTCGGATTTCAGTATTTAATCTCAGAGTGAACAAAGGATTCTGTTATATGGACAATGCTTACAGATCCTACTACATGTCTATGGTATTGAAGTCATGGGCCATTAGACTGTATGTTTATTCTTGGTTTCTAATTTTATTTAAACTATCTCTATCTGTCTTGCAGGAGAGACAACGGGTAATATATGAAGAACAGAAAAAACTTGTCCAACAACAGGCACAAACAAAAGCTCAAATGGCTCGTTATGAGGATGAATTGGCAAGGAAACGGATGCAGGCATCTACTTAACTGATAACATTCATTATGAATTGCATTGTTGAGCATGTTTTAACGACCTTATTTTTCTGCAGGCAGAGAATGAAGTTCAAAGAGCAAGAAATCAAGAGCTTGTAAAAATGCAAGAAGAATCATCCATCAGGCAAGAGCAAGCTCGGCGAGCAACAGAAGAACAGATTCAAGCACAACGTCGGCAAACTGAGAGGGAAAAGGCTGAGATAGAGCGTGAAACAATCAGAGTTAGGGCTATGGCAGAAGCAGAGGGGAGAGCCCATGAAGCAAAGTTAGCAGAAGAGGTAAATAGACGGATGCTAGTAGAACGTGCAAATGCTGAGAGAGAGAAATGGGTTGCTGCCATAAACACGGCATTTGAGCATATAGGAGGTGCAAACTCAATTCCATGAGACATGCATTTATACTTCATGAGTTAAAAACTTTTGTTCTGAAACATATTCCAGATCAACGTGTTTGATAACATTTCAATATATTAAAAAAAAGATAAAATTTCAATGTTCCAAGTTCGATACATGATACATTTGTGATTTTGTGTGGGCATTAAGAAAGTTCAATTGCATGATAGATTGGTAAGATGATCTATTTATGTTTGGAAAACAGAAAGTGAACTCTATGGAAAATTAAGTTGTTCAAGTGGTTCTATCTGGTTTCATGCATTCAACACGTTTCAATTCTCAAAGTGATATGACAGGGGGTTAAGTTTCATTTCATATGACCAACCATTTGGGTTAGTCTTTTTTCAAACTTTGGCCTGAATCATTCAAGGATATAGATATAATGAGCAATCAAATATTGAAGATGATTTAGCTTTTAATGTATCAATAGATATGGTTGTCTAAAGGAAGATACRATACTCTAAGCTATATGCCTGCCATTCAGGGAATTAGTTGAACTCAACCATCTCTCATGGTTAATGAACTGTTATCAATATCATGTTTCGGACTTTGTGATCTAAGATCCAATTTTGGTAGGATAATTGGATTAGGCTGAGAGGCTTTGTGAATGTGCTTTTGGCCCTAGTGTCCTACAATATGGTATGTAGTAGGGGATTGAGAGGCTTATCTTTTTGGAGTACAAATTTGAGTTTTAATATCTATGAAAGGGCGACTAAAGAGTGTTCAATTCTCTTGCGCAGATTGGTGAGGTAAAATTAAGTGCTGAAAGGGAAGATATCAATTATGGTTGTTATGGGTGGAAGACATCCCTCCCCCCAGTGATTTAAAAGGTGCGCTTGAGGCACGCCTAGGTGCATAGGCGAGGCACATTTTGGGGTATGCGCCTCACCCAGGCGAGGCGTGCGCCTGATGCGCTTTGTGCCTCTGCCAGGCATGCACCTTTTTAAAATTTTGTGCTTTTTGCTTTTTTTTTTTTAGTCTAACGGTTGGGCCGGGGGACCCCCAACCATGCCCCTTGAGGCAAGCCCAAACAAGTCTATGTTAGGGTCTGAAATTCTTATTTCTCACATAAAAAAATAATGATTTTATAACTTTCATTGCCTTTTAGGATTCACTTGCTCACCAAAGCTCCGAGAACCCCCTATTTGCTAATGTTGTTCATTCATTCATTGCAATAAAAAATCTTCTTAAAAGGCAATGAAAGTTATAAAATCATTATTTTTTATGTGAGAAATAAGAATTTCAGACCCTAACATAGACTTGTTCGGGCTTGCCTTGAGGGGCGTGGTAAAAAGGAGACTCATATAATCAAGAATGCAATATGTTTTACATCACATTAGCTACTTGAAGCAATGCAATTAAGGAAAAAAAAAGAGATTATGGGTTTTACATGCTTGAAAATGCTTTATATGTTTGCTTTTATTTTTAAATTTTCATTTGAATACGCTTTAGATGTTATGTTCATGTATTTTAATTTTAGATAATGGGTTTTTTAAAACATTTATTTTAAAATTTAAGTTTATATTTTTTATTAACATTATGTTTAATATTTTTGAATTTTTTTTAAATTTTTTAAATTTTTTAGCTTTTTTTTTTTTTTTTTTTGCGCCTTGCGCTTTTAAAACACTGCTCCCCCCGTCAAGAGAGAGCAAAGAAAAGTGACACCACAAAAAAGGGTAATGGAGAGATGAGAGAAGAATCCATTTTTTTCTCAGACCAATGGGGCTCTGAATCATGCTTGTTATGGGGGATTGAAAGCCTTATTTTTTTGCAGTACAAATTTGATGTTTAATATCTATAAAAGGGCAACTGAAGAGTGTTCAATTTTCTTGGGCAGACTGGTGAGGCAAAATTAAGTGCTGAAAGGGAAGATATCAGTTATGGTTCTTATGAAGACCCCCCACCACACACACACAAAAAGAAAAAAAATGACAGAGAGAGGAGAGAAGAATCCATTTTTTTTCCTCACACCAATGGGACTCCGAATCATGCTTGGATACTTCTTGGGTTTTGTGGTGTTTCTTTATCATCTCTTACACATTTGKCAAAGAAAATGTATGGATAGATGGTATATTTTCTTGAACTTTACTATTTTTTTATAAGTAATAGTATAAAATTAATTTTCTTGAACTTTCCAATTTGAAACCAGTAATAGAGATGTCAGTGAAATTGCCAGGATACAGGTATCGTAGAAGACAAATGTCTTCCAAGTATTAAAAGTAAAAGCATGCTATCTGATGTTGAGTAGGATACTGGTATTTCTATCCATGTCTTTGTACTTTAAGAAATGAGAGGTTTGGTCCAAATGTCTTATATCATGCTATCTGCATTGTTCATCTCAGCAACAGAAGTTGTGAAATCCTTAATTAATGCATTATATGTAAATCATATGAAGGTAGATTTTGTCATATTTATTTGTTATTGTGTTTCTATACCATATAGAATTTTTTTAAAGGTAAGGTAACTATTTTTTTTTATCAATAACAGAAACTTTTATTAAAGAATTAAAAGAAAGGTACAGAGGAAGAAAGGGGAGGGCTAAAATCTCTTAACCCTCCCCGAGAAAAACAAAAAATAGAACTACAATACAGCCCAGAGCATTTGATCCCTTCCCACCCGTTGTTTAGCAAGAGCATCTGCAAAGGAGTTAGCACTTCTCTTAACCCATTGTAGCTGACTGCATTCTGGGATAGCCAACTGAACTTTCTTTTTTCGTTGGCAAACTTTCATAATCCGATTTCCTCCTTTTGCAACCAGCCTATAGCCACTTTTGAATCTCCTTCAACAATTAATTTTCTGATATTCAATTCTTTAGCCTTCTTTAACCCTTCCATTACCACCATAACCTCAGCTCTAAGTGAATCCCCTACACCAATTAGACCTGAAGACATAGCAATAACTCTCCCTTCCTCATCTCTGAATGTTCCTCCAATGCCTGAGGGCCCCAGATTACCTTGACTACTTYCATCAAAGTTCAACTCAATAAAACTAGAAGCTGGCGGAGACCACAATGGACTATCTTCAATTGAAATGGGGTTGAATTAGCCATTTCCTTCCAACTCAGCAATATATTTTTAGTGACACCCTTAAACAGAACATGCAGTGTCCTTGTACAAAAAGACTCTGTAAAGTATGCGGAAATGATCAAATGAGTGCATAAAACACATAAAAAATAGTCAAAAGCTGAAAGTTCTGTCATGAAGCATCCTTGAAGAGAGAATGTTTTGCTACCAAGATTGCAAAAGAGTGGAATTGCTAACCAGACAGCTCTATCTTGAACCTTTCCTGTTTAGGCCTTTAACCAACATCAAGGGATCCCTCAACCAACTAAGGTATGCACCACTGCAAGTGAATGGATTTCAGTTACCATACAGCCACTGTTTACCTACAATGATTGTATGCATGGTTCACGACTCAGCCTCCTGATTAAAAAAGGTGCAACAGCATGGTTCATGACTCACTTCCCTTTTGCTGCCACCCAGGCTGGGAATTTGACTTTTAATGAAGCAGCTGAACTAAAGATCCTTATAGAGCTCTCATCTCTCTCAGTTTGGAATCAGAGGGCTTTTTTTTTTTGGAAAATTCTCCATGCAGCTATTTCTTGGGGGTACTTTTTTTAAGAGAACAAAGTAATTTTATTGATGAAAAAAATTGCAATGAGTGACTCAGCTAGCTTGGTAGCTAAACATTACTCCGAGGCACTGTAAAAATAATAAAAAATACCCTCAGCAGGACCCAAAGAAAAGATTGCATTCACACCGACTGACTTCTACTGCTCATGGAACAAACCATGTCCAATTAGTAAAACATGTGTCGGCACTTGTGAGAACTCTTTTTCCACAGAAATCCATAGCCTTATCCTTCCAACTATTTACCTTTGCTGCTGAAACCTTTCAAGCACCAAGGATTCAAGAAATATATAATCCATGTGGGCATTTTGACCTTGAATTCACAGATTTTAAGAAATGGAACCAGATCTTATGAGTGATATGGCAATGCATGAGCAGGTGATCAGTCATTTCCTCTGCCTGCTTAAACATAACACATGTCAGCCCTGAAGGATAGGCCTCTTCCTATTAGTTTATCCTTTGTCAAGCATTTGCCTAATGCTGCCATTGATACCAAAAAAGCAGATTTTGATGGTGCTGAAGATCTCCACACAATTTAATGTGAGAAAATGGTACTTCTATTTTCCTATATATGCTTGACAAAGCTGAAAATATTACCGTTGGGCACTTCAAAGGAGTGTAACAAAAGAACTTTCAAAGTAGATTTGTTTCTTTGTTGCTTATATGATGTCAGTGGGTCAACATCCTACAGGGTTTTACTCGTGTCAATTGGGGGTTCTGAAGACTGTGAAAGTTAATTATTCATGCCTTTTGGTTTCAATTATCCAGTTATTTTGGTTTGAGTCCTCTGCTTCTTTTTTTATCTTTTGTTTTTGATAAATAACTTCAGATTTCATTAAAAAAATCCTTTGTATGCACATATTCGTACTTGTCAATATAAAATTGTATGAAGGTTGGGGCTGAATTTTGCAGAGTACATAAACCAAATTGGCCATGAGCTTGAGCTCAAAGTTAATGAAGTCAGTTTTCTTAATTGGAAGCTTTCATTTGGAAACACATAATAGGTTTAATAATGATCTTTCAGACAATTATAATCCAGAACTAGGCACTCTGTGCTTTAATTTCTTACTTGTATTGCATTAGCCACTTGGTGTTTTTGTTGTCTCTATCTAGTGGTAACCAACATGGAAAGGTTGGTTGTATATTTGAGTTAGGCTGTTAGGCACTTAGGCMCTTAGGCTTGACTTTTAGTACGGTTATCCACTCCAAATCTGTTTAGTTTGAAAATGATGCTTTATGAGATTCTCCCTTAAAAAGATCTTCAAAAGGGTGGTTTTTTGTCTCGACGGAATCTTTGTCTTATGGGTGGGTTTGTGTATATGTGGGGCTTTAATGCCTTTTGCCACTTGAGGTTTTGAAGGTGTTTTTTGTTTTTTTCTTCTTCCCTTATTAGTTTTTATCTTCCTTGTTCTTTTATTTGCTAACAAAGTTGTTATGCTATAGAAAGTAAGATTTTTGCTGTGTATAAGTTCATAACTTCATATTCTATACTGACAAATTAGCTTATAATGGCTTTTTTTTTGGAAATTGTGATCAGCAATTGCCAAGGGAGGGTTTATGTGGGATTCTTTATTCTTCATCATTACATGCGAATGAAACATGGAGAACTAATCAGGGGATTTTTACTTATTTGTTTAGTTCTTTTCATCCATGTGCATGCAACATTGATGGGCAGAATTTGTGCTCTTTCATATCATCTACTTCTCTGAAGGATTTTTGATTAAGATTGAAATTAGAACTGGTCCTTTTGTTCTTTCTTCTTTCTCATCCAAAGACATCCTTTGGARAGGGATTTTTTGTGTTAATCAAGTTCAATTTCTTTTGTCCTTAGTGTTGGTATAAGTGCCAAGGTAAGTTTCTTTAGGTATTTTGGAAATGACTTTTGGTCCATAAGCTAAAGGGAAAAGAGACGGTGACTCTTCTGTTTCTTATCTTACTAATCTGGGACAACATTTTGCTTAGACATATAATACTTAAAGTTGTAATTTGATAAAAATTTCTTGCAATACTGTGGTTGGTGTTGCTACTTTTATGAATATTGTTCAGTTTAGACCATCTATCAGATTAGACGTAGCTTATTGGGAGTGCTAATTGATGCTTATTTTATGCAGATTTTATATTGAATGGATATTATTAGTCAAATAGATTGGTTAAATTGTTTTTTTCTTCTTCTCTTTGTAGGTGGCTTGCGGGCCATATTGACAGACCAAAATAAGCTGGTTGTAACTGTTGGTGGAGTGACAGCACTTGCAGCAGGGATCTACACAACGAGGTATTGGTGGAATTAATGAACAAGAAGATTTGGAATATATGTACATTTTTATGTTGATTATTGATTCTTGGGGTTGCTTTTCGGCAGCTAGGAAAGTAGGATATGCATTCCATTGCGCTTCATAGTTTTGACATTCAATGTTGGTGGAATCACTAGTTACTTTCCTTTTAGTGTATGAATAATTGAATACATCTATCATCATGGGTGCTTGTATCCATGTGTGCCAAATCTTGTTTAGGGAGTGAAGCTGGTTTCAGGAAGACATATAGTACATTTTAAGCATATTGTGTGTTTGTAAATTTGTTATATTAATTATTTTTTTATAAAAAACATGTATATATATGATGAAACTAGTTGAAAAGATACTTGTGTTTTTTGTTTTTCTTTTTTTTAATTATTATATTTTAAATTTCTTATAGTAATTAATTATTTTTTAAAGAAATTTAAATCGGATCGGACCAGATCCGAAAATCTGGCTTCTTCATCGAATTCGAATCCATACTTATGAGATCCAATCGGATCAGATTCAGATATACATTCGAATCCGATCCAATCCGGTTGCATCCCTAGTATTGGAGAAAACATTTTCTCCTTTTTGCCTATGTGGTGCCTGGCTGGCACCATATATAATATTAAAAAGTGCACATAACCTTGAGTACTTTATATGCAATGATACCAAACAAGCTCCTAGTTGTGGATCTATGCCAAAACTTACTTTCCGTCATGCTTGCTTTTCTTCTTGTTGGTGCAGATTATGATGCTGAACCGGTATCAGTTTTTGAGTTTTATTCCTATCTTACTCTCTCCTTGTATATCTGATAATTTTTTTGTGGATGTCAACCAAACATTCAGAACATTTTATTTTGCTGTATTCATCAAAAAAAAAAATCATTTGGCTGCCTAACTTTTGTGAGCTACCTTGATCACGCCAGAACAATGAAAAAGGAGCTTTTGATTTTTGGTTCAACGTAACACTTGCTTTTCAGGTCCTTTTTGCTATTCTCTTGTTCTGAAATGGTTGGTAGAAATTGGACACGATTTCTTAGATTGAACTTGTTTCATATGATCTATTCATAAAAAAAGTGTTGGGTGATCTTGATCCTAGTTGCTTTGTGTGCGGATGTAATCCAATGAAGTAATAGTTTAGATGAATGTTTGTGCATGCGCACATGTGAGTGTTCCAAAGAAGCGCCGATAGATTAGATGTATGTATGTACACATGCCTCAGATTGTCTAGACCCTAATTTCTTATGCCTATAGGCCCTTTAATTTTTTTTTGAGGCCATCACATTGTGGTTTTATTTGCAGTTGTTTTATGATAAAAAATCTACTAGCTTATAGAAAAAGGTCTGCTCAAGGTTTAAAATATTGACACGACGCCCCATAGGGGGCACATCGAATCGTATCTTTGAATAACCAATACGAGGAACAGTAAGAAATGGTGGGTGTGTGTGTGTGTGTGTATTGAAACAGGTAAAGTATAATATCATTAAAATACCAAAAAACATGTATAACAAGGAGCTGTACACAGGGATTTACAAAAACTGCACATGCAGATCTATACCTCCAAACCCTGATTTACAAAAAGATTTCTAAAAGCTAAAAAGGAGTTAAAATTACTGTCCTTAAACACATTGTTTATTATTATTATTTTTGATCAGTGAAACTTAAACACATTTTTTATTGTTAGCCAAGAGAACATTTTTTCCCAAAATTTTCTGAAAAACTGTCTGTGGAGCCATGTTGATTCTTGACAATCCTTGCATTCCTCTCCTGTCATATGCACCAAAAAAACTGCAGCAGGAGCCAAGTTCCACACCAATTTGTCCACATTTTTGAGGCCTTTGACTCTTCAACTCTTCACAAAATCCACCAACGATTCAGGGCAGCAACTTTGGACTTCAAGCAAGTTCCTGACCTTATTCCAAACCTCAAAGGAAAAGCTACAGTGAAGTAACAAATGGTTGACTGACTCATTATGATTCTGGCAAAGCACACAAGTGGAACTCCCCCCTGCCCAAAAGCCTCTAAAACAGCAAACCTCATTACTAGATTGTGAGATCTGCAAAAAAAAGTGTCAATCATCAAATTTTCTGAAGATTTTGCAAGATTTGAAAAAATATTGCAAAAACAGTTTTTTTTTTCATTTTTTCTCATAATATATTGTGATTTTTTTTTTTTGCTTTAATGCTTGAGAATGGTTAAGTCTATATTGGTCTACATTTCTTGTGTTGAAAACCATAGATTTTTTTGGTGTTATGAGTAGATCTATGATTTTTGTTTTGAAAAAAATGGGGAAAATATAAAATAACCAAAAAAAGAAAAAATTATAGATTTTTTTTTATCTGCCCATAAAGATTGCATATGTCGTAGATGTATGGGCGATCTATCATATCCATAGAACAATTGATATTTCTTCTTCAATATTTATTAATTTTATAATTTTTGAAATTAAATAATAAAAAATAATTATTTATATTTTCTTGTGATATGACCATAAGAATTGAGTATGTTGTAGATCTAAGAATGGTCTATCGTATCTACAAAGCAATTGGAGTTTCTTCTTCAATATTTATGTTTTTGATTTTTTTTTGTAATTTTTGGAATTAAAAAAATAGACAGTAATAGTTTAAATAAGTAAATAATCATTAATTATATTGTCACTTAGAAGTTGTGCCAATGCATGTTTTATGGTTTGTTAGGATAATTGAGCTTTTATAAATAGTTAAGCATATAGCGTTTTTTAATGAAATTTGAGAACTCGACAAAATTACATAAAAAAAGAAATTGATATATTCTATATGATATGATGATACCATTTTATGATTTCTATTTAATTAAAAAAGAGAAATTGATATATCTATAAACCCATACAATTTTTGAACATTTATTTTTTAAAATAAAAATAAATAGAAAATAACCATTTGAATACCAAAAGATTCTTTAATTGTAGCCTCTAAGAAAGAAATATGTATTTGAATGTAACTGTGAAGTGTGAAGATGACAGTTAGATGCTAGGATAAATTTGAATGCTTTCCAGTGTGTTGATTATGATGTATTTCTTGATTTCTTCATAAAGCCCACTAGAATATACGAGTCTTATGTATGTATATGTCATCGATGCCTGATATTTAGTACTATTGATGTATTTTTACTCTTCGTGCTTCAGGCCATTAGCTTTCTTGATCCTCTTAATGCATATATGGATCATTTGTAAGAATGCATAGATATGTTTTACTCCTTATTTGCATTTCTTGTGAATTGGATGGCTATAATACGAGGTATAGTTGATGTTATTCTTTCTTCCCTTGCAGAGAAGGTGCTAGGGTGGTTTGGGGATATGTTGATAGAATATTAGGACAACCATCTCTGATCAGAGAGTCCTCTAGAGGGAAGTATCCTTGGTCAGGTGTCTTCTCTCGTGCCATGAGCACACTATCACATAAAGCTGACAAAAGATCTACTTCCAAAAATGGAAGTGGCTTTGGTGATGTGATTTTGAACCCTTCTCTTCAAAAAAGAATTGAACAACTTGCAGGTGCTACTGCAAATACAAAATCCCACCAGGCACCATTCCGCAACATGCTCTTCTATGGCCCTCCTGGAACAGGGAAGACAATGGCTGCTAGAGAACTTTCTCGCAAATCTGTATGAGATCTTATCCTTTATTTCTGCTTCATTTGATGCAAACCGAAAGGAGGCCCAATTTGGTAGCTCGTGAACTATTTATTAAGCTAGCTTGAGTTTTCCATGCATGCTCTTCCACCTTTTACTGGACACGAGCAAATGCTTGCTTGTGAAATTTTTTGCCATGCTTGATTGCAGGATCCACATCTTGGAACCCTCAAGCTAGTAAGATAGCTTCTGAGTTGTTGAAAATCAATTCATCCCTTATGCATCAACGAACTATGCATGCTCATCAAAAGAATAGAAAAATAAACAATAAAATCCTCTTTCCAATTAATCATCCAGCTAAATCTGTATAACATGATTTCAGGGATTGGATTATGCATTGATGACTGGTGGGGATGTTGCACCACTGGGACCACAGGCTGTTACCAAGATACACCAGTTATTTGACTGGGCTAAGAAGTCCAAGAAGGGCTTATTGCTCTTCATTGATGAAGCAGATGCATTTTTGTGCGAGTAAGTGATGTGTGATATATCTAATGCTTTTGCATGAAAATGATTTCATGAATGTGTTCCTTACAGGAGTTCCATATTTCATGGCACAACAATCAATCTGACTCAAACAGCAATGCTTGGATGATCTTAATCATCTGACTAAAAAGGCCATTACCCAGTGTTGTTCCCAGCTATATAACTAATCTCATTTTATTTGGTAGTGGAGAAAAAGATGAAAGGTCTGTGAGGCTGGGCTTCATATTTTCTTGCCAGCTACTTGAACAAGCTTAAACTAGCCGAAATTGCATTTCTTGGCTAATTTGCTAAGACTATGCAATTCTAATGTCTTTGTGGATTGCATTATTATGGTAAAATTAACCATAATATTTCTTTTTCTTTATATAAGTGTCCAATCACATTGCTATCTGGCAACTTGCTAACTAAAAGCTTGTATGTCACTGGCCGTTGAAGTCCTTAATATAACTGGATATCTGAATTCTTATATCCAAAATTTGCAGGCGAAATAAGACCTACATGAGTGAAGCTCAACGCAGTGCTCTCAATGCCCTCCTCTTTCGCACAGGTGACCAGTCCAAGGACATAGTCCTTGCCCTTGCTACCAATCGCCCTGGTGATCTTGATTCTGCTGTTGCTGACCGTATTGATGAGGTCCTTGAATTTCCCTTGCCTGGGGAAGAGGAGCGCTTCAAACTCCTTGAACTCTATTTGGATAAATACATTGTTCAGGTTGGACAAAGGAAGTCTGGCTGGCTTCCATCTTTATTTCGTCGACAGCAACAGAAGATAGAGGTGAAGGGTTTGTCGGATGATGTTATCAGGGAAGCTGCTATCAAGACTGAAGGATTCTCAGGAAGGGAGATAGCAAAGCTGATGGCAAGTGTTCAAGCTGCAGTTTATGGGAGCAAGGACTGTGTGCTTGATGCAAACTTGTTTCGTGAGGTGGTGGATTACAAGGTTGCAGAGCACCAGCAGAGAAGGAAACTTGCTGCTGCTGAAGGCGGTAGCATTTAAATTCTCTGCTCGAATTGAGGTATGGCATTTCTTTATTTCGGGTAGTGTTAAAGTCAGCAGGCTATAAAGAAGCAGGTGAGTATCTGATTTTCTTTTTTGTTAGACCCCTTTGTTGGGGTTTTTTGTTGTCATTATTATTGCCCCCGTCAAGGTGGGGGAATTTTGGATGGTCATCTATATTTTATCTTACCAATTAAAGCTGATAGATAACGAAGGATATTTGGAACATTCATGTCCTTMGCATTTGTTGCACATTTTTCTCTTCTCAAATTGAGTTCGTCAGACTTCCGTGCTCTCTCTCTCTCTCCAGTGAAACCCAGTTAATTTGGTGAAACATGAGATGAGAGTGCTGGACGTGTTCAGACTTCAGAGTGTTATTTTTTGAGAAATAGCAAAAGAATTAATAACCATGAGAGGGAGACGGAATGCTACCCTGCCTTTTGACCCCGTCAACAACCTTATTTTGGCAAAAGAGGGACTTCAGGATTCAGGAGCCCCCTTATACAAAAATGAGATTAATGAACACAAGGGGGAGTAATAATGGAAGAAACAAAAGACCTAAATTTAGCTTCTCTAGCTGAGTTATGAGCAACAGAGACCTTGTCCTTCTGCAGACGTTAGTTTAACAGAAAAAAAAGGGAAAGAAGATTGATGCATATTTTTAGCCATCTCTGCACGCGTTTTCATTGAAACATTTTAAGGGCAAATTTTTTAAGCTACCCTTAAGTTATTGTCTTAAATCACCCATACTATTTCTGATAATAATCTAAATGGAAATGATAAAATGTCTCTTTTGCCGTTATGTCAGAGGCTGGTGTTGTATCTCTCTTCTTCTCTTTGATGGTTCCTGAAATTCCGTCCCAGGCAAGTAAACGGAAAATGGGGTTCCTTTCACATCTGAGTATCCCTCGGATCGATTTGAGAAATACTCAGTCGGCCAAGTCAGGAATCTAGCCCTCAATAACTAATATATGTCAATTAGATTAAGAAAAAATTCGTTAGAAATCTCTTCAGAAAATCTCAAATTCCAACTGTCTACAATCAATGTTCTGCAATAGGCATCGATCCACTATGCAATTGGTAATGACAGGGGAGAGAGGAGGCAGAGAGAGAACTTGGTTGGGGGCTTAGCTGGGTCATTGGTGCAAGGAAGGAGGTTCTTCTCCTTGGGTGAATTCTTCTTCTCAACTGGGTCCAAGACCGACTCCTTGGTGGTAAGGTTGAACTTCAAAACAACAGTCTCAACGAACCCTCTCTTGGCACCATTAATCTTGGTTGCAGAGGGAGTTGTATTGCCATCGCCACCTCCTCTGCTACTCGGTAGTCCAAGGCGGAGCTCCGTCTCTTCAAAATTCAGACAGTACTCGTAAGGCCCACCTTCATGCCTGCTCGCCATTTTCTGACAAACTTCCATGAAAATCCTGGCAGAGTGAGGGCTCACTTTTGGCCTCTTTCATTGGTTGTCCGAGTCATGGTTTTTAAAACCGACCCAGAGACCAAATTGGTCAGGGGTCTGATTACCGGGTTGAATGGTCTGATTGTTCGCCCGAATGGTCGGCCCGTTCTGACAAAAAAATAAAAAAACGGTCAAAACCATTCGAACGGTTAATCATCCAGTTCAGCAGTTTGCTGACTAAAATCAACGTTTTGGAGAAAAACAAAACCGATCATCCTGATTTTTCCGATCCGACCGTCTGATCCAAACCGATTTTGAAAACCATGGTCCGAGATGGAATAATTGGCGATAGGTACCAATTCGCACCTCATCGATGATAGTGGGTTCAAGATTCAAGGACACAGCATGGGGAACGTGCTCCACCACTCTGGATACCATGTTCAACACAATAAAGCTCCCAGGAAGCATTTCCAACCTAGATACCAGCCTAATCGATGTGAATGGAAATGCATTTTCGTTGGAAAACTTGGGGTACTTTTGACCGACTCAATATCTACATCAGTTAACCACTTTGCTTGAAACAAGAAAAAGCAGATTTTCCTGTTGGAATGGAGAGAGAGAGATAAGCCCGGGATGCTTTTTCTTTCTTGTCATCTCCACCCAAATACACTTCCTGATTAAGGGTGATTTGGCCCAACCTAGCAAAAAGGGGACACGTGGACACAACCTGATCAAGAGATGATAACTCAGCTTGGCAAGTTTGGCTCGGGTATTCAGTCACCTCGGCATAAGACTCACCTTGGCATTGAGGCACCTCGGTATTCAATCCAGTTCGGAACTAAAAGACCGAAGTACCAGCTTGGGACCAACAACTCGAATTGCTACGTAACTGACTCCCGCGTAACCAACTCCAGAGGTCTCTCCAACGGATCTCAAATCTCTCGAGATCACGATGAGCTAACAGATCCTGAACAACGAAGTGGAGTACGAAACATTGGTCGTCGGGCTCACCCTARCCAGAGAGATGAAGGCAAATCACCTCATCATATGCAACGATTCTCAGCTCGTAGTCAACCAAGTCAGCGGCGAGTATGAAGCCCGCGACCCCACCATGGCTGCTTACTTGGCCAAAGTTAGGGAGATCCTACGTGGCTTCATTTGTTACTTCATCAAACAAATTCTGAGGTCCGAGAACGCTGAGGCCGATGCCTTGTCCCGATTAGGTAGCACAAGCTACAACACCATGCAAACCGTGTATATAGAGGACTTACCTCGGCCTAGCATTCTCGGGGGGGCAGGAGAGGTCACTCCCATAGAACAAGCAGAACCGAGTTGGATCGACCCACTCGTGAGTTACCTGCTTCACGGGACCCTCCCTGTAGAACGCAATGCAGCCCGAAGGGTAGAGCGTCAGTCGGCTAAGTACGTCATTATAGACGGACAATTGTACAGAAGGTCCTTCACACTCCCCTACTTGCGCTGCCTGCGACCCTCAGAGGCCGAGTACGTACTCCGTGACACCCATGAAGGCTTGTGCGGCGGACACTTGGAGGGCAGGGCTCTCGCATAAAGGTGTTACGGCAGGGATACTACTGGCCCACGATGAAGGCAAACGCACTCAAGCTCGTCAAGAAGTGCGATAAATGTCAGAGGCACACTAACATCCATCACCGACCTGCTGACGATTTGAAATACCTCACTAGCCCATGGCCCTTCGCGCAGTGGGGAATCGACATCCTTGGCCCATTCTCGCCAGCGACAGGACTGAGGAAGTTTCTGGTCGTAGCAGTAGACTACTTTACGAAGTGGGTGGAAGTTGAACCTCTAGCAACAATCACAGCCCGCAACATACAAAACTTCTTTTGAAAGAACTTAGTGTGTCGCTTCGGGCTACCTCGGGTACTCATCTCCGACAACGGGAAGCAGTTCGAGGATATAAAATTTCGGAATTGGTGTGCTGAAATGAGAATTCAGCAAAATTTCACCTCGGTGGCACACCCCCAGGCGAACGGGCAAGCAGAAGTCACCAACAGAGCTATACTTCGCGGACTGAAAGCTCGCTTAGCTCAAGCCAAAGGATTGTGGGTAGATGAACTGCCCAGTGTAATTTGGGCCTACTGGACTACCGTCAAGATTGCCACAGGTGAGACTCCTTTTAATCTCACTTACGGCACAAAAGCGGTGATCCCTGCAGAAATTGAGGTGCCCACACTACGCTTGGAGGCCTACGACGAGGAGACGAATGATGACGAGCTTCGTACCAACCTAGACCTGGTGGAAGAAGTACGAGACCTAGTATACATCCGGACTGCGGCTTACCAACAAAGAGTAGCTCGGTACTATAATGCCTGGGTCAAGAAGCGACACTTCCGTGTCGACGACCTGGTTCTCCAGAATGTTATGGTACCTGAGCCCGGTGTCGGTAAGCTCGGACCAAATTGGGATGGTCTGTACCGAGTAAGATGGGCATATGGGGAAGGTATGCACGAGCTCAAGACTCTGGAAGGGAAGCAAGTACCTCGAGCGTGGAACATTGACAACCTAAGAAGATACTACTTGTGATCACCGAACTGGAGAGAGGATTGCGAGTCACTCCCAAAACCCTAAGGGCCATGATGCCAAGCTGATAAAATACCCTGGCACTACGATAAATCCTAGTCGCCTCTTCAGCATGGGCGGATAAGTCCCAGTCGCCTCTTCGGCATGGACAGATAAGTCCTAGTCACCTCTTCGGCATAGACAGACAAGTCCTAGTTGCCTCTTCGGCATAGGCGGACAAGTCCTAGTAGCCTCTTTGGCATAGGCAAATTGGTTCTCATGCCCAAGGCATAGACAGCTCGGGTACAAACCCTACAACRTCTGGCCCACCTCGGCATATAACAACAAGTTGATCTCATTTGAGGTCAGGCCCGACGGCTCAACACTAAGGGATAACCGACACCTAAGCGAGTAGCCTGTGCGCAGACAGGTCGGGTATATACCCTACAATGTCCGTCCACATCGGTGTACAATAATGCGAAGTTACCCCTACTCGGAGTCCAATTCGTTAGCTCGACAATTCGGGGTAACCAACACTTAGAAAAAATCTACTTCGGTTATCCCTACTCGTAGTTCAACTCGTTAGCCTGACAGTTCAGGGTAACCAACACTGACAAATTTTTACTCCAATGTGGTTCAGTTTGCCAGTTCGGGAGTTATTTACACTCAGAAAGTTTTTGCACAAAGATAGTCAAAATGCTTATATTTCATTGATGTAAAGTTTTGAGTACAAAAAAAAAGAGAAACTTTCACTATAAACCGAGCTCTGAGGCTCGGGATATACATCATTAAAGGGAAAAGAAGAGGCATCTAATCACTTTGGGGCTCCTTGYCCTTGTCGGAGGCTTCAGCAGGAGGATCAATTTTCATGCAGCTCTTGCCAGCACCAGTCTTCCCATTGTTATCGAACAGGTCGCTGTCGCTTTCTGCTTCGGAGTCTGGATCTTCAGCAGCTTTGGCGGCCATTTCCTTTGTGATCCTCGAGGTAGCTATGGCACTAAGATCGAGCTGGGGGAACTCACGTCGGGTCAGCCACCTGCTAAGCTTGAAGCCTTTGCGGTAGCTCGCTGTCCCCACCTCGACCATCTCTCTTCGGTACTCCGCCAAAGTCTTGTACTCCTCGATGGCCTTAATCTTGGCCTTCTCCACTGCTTGAAGAAGTATCTCGGTCTGCTCCTTCACATGAGCCTCAAGGTTTTCCACCTCCCTCTTCAGCACTGTCTCCCGCTTCGCGAGCTCCTTCTTCTCGGACATTAACAACGTGATCAGCACTTTCTTAGCCCGTGCGTCCTTCTTCAGTTGGTTATTATCATTGCGG